GGTTAGCAGCCAGAGCCTGGGGGGTTGGAAAGGAGCACCTTTAACCAGCTGCCTCTGGGAGAGAGGTGCTCCCTGCACAGCCCCTGGGGAGCCTGGTTGTAGTCAGAAGCCCCAAGGGAGAAGTGGAGCAGCCGAGCCCAGTGTCCTAGTGTCCTACTCACACCAGTCCTGGGGGCCAGCGGCAATCAGTGGGAGGTGCCACAGTGATCCACCACAAATTCAACATGCCACCTGCCTCCTAGTGCCCTCCCAAGCACACCTTCCTCCACTCCCAGCCCTCAGTGCAGCTCCATGTTGTCCGAAAGGACACGACACAGTGCAGACTTATCTGAGGCTCTTAACCCCATATCATCCCAGGCTCTCGACTCCCACTCGGAGGAAAGAGACGCTCCATGAAGACTTCCTTTCCAGTAACAGGGTGGTTACATGTGAGGCCGCGCTGACCACAGGTCAGCATTTGGAAACCACCAGCTTCCCCGAGGGAGAAAGAGGAGGCGCTCACAGAGGCAGTTCTGTTCCATCCTGCAGGGTCGCTGTGAACCAGAATCGACCTGATAACACTGATTCTCTGTGTTCGAGTTTACAGTAACAGCCCTTCCTTACACCTTCTCATAGGCCTGGCTCTGTCAGTCCTGCTAAAGTGGAGCCCGTCTAATACCATTATTTGCTGTTTTATAAAAAGCCATCTTTATATTCATCTTTGACTTCGTTATAAATGCTTGTTTGTTTCCGATTTATTCTTGTTATTTAATGGTCATGTATAGCATTGAATGGCGGATTTGATTCAAAATTTTAAAACCTGTTTTGCTCAACTCAGTAGTTTTATGACAGCATCAAAGTACGTCTTTCAGATGATTAGACCAAGGAACCTAGGAGTCTGACCTGCCTTACTTCGCATTATTAGGGGTAATTAAGATAAGCGACCACGCCTTGTGTGGTAACTAACTGCAGTAGCATTCCCGCCCAACACTGCCGCGCCCTCGGCTCTGACCTTACCGATGTAGAGAGCTTTTCAAAAGGCTGTCAGGCCCATCGGGTCCATGAAAGTTTCACAGGCCATTGATAACTAAACGCTTGTTTTTAATCAGCTGCTCGTCATGCATTAATTTATTGATCTATATGAAGGAGAAATGACGTGGCTGACTACCCTCTGGCTCCGCAAGGGGAAAGGATCATCAAACTCCACGTCAGCATATCCCCAGGTGGCGTTCTACGGTAATGTGGTCGTTACACAGGGCTACTAACCCAAGGTCAGCAGTTCGAGACCACCAGGGAGAAAGACATCAATAACTCAGTGCAGGGGCCACACCGAACTCCCAAGTCTCTTAAAGAGGTTTGCAGGTTACGCATGCTCAGGACACAATGACTCAGGTCAGGCAGGACAGCTTCCCAGCTGTGCTCACAGGCAGCCTTCTCGCTGGCCTTCGACCCATCAGCCACGTGACCTATTTACCTCTGCCCTGCTTGTGCAATGTTACAAAGCTCTTTATTTATTTGTTTGTTTGTTTTTTGGTTACAAAGCTCTTTCAGGGCTGCCAGTAAATGCCCAAAAGGTATGCCACGCTGCCATAAGCATCAGCCTGAAGGTGCTCAGCTCCCGCTCCGTGGGGTCAGTAAGCCTAGCTCCCTCAATTAAGTGCCCTACTTGCTAGTCTCCTGCCGGGAGGCACTCCACTTTACTTGCTCTGGGAGCTGGTAGGTCCACTGCACTGGCTTCTGGTCTTGCTGCTGCTCCTCACAGGCAGCTCCTGGGTCAAGGAGATTCACTGCAGGGATCTCGGGAGCCAAAGGAGGAGCCCAACCCCTGACTCTTCTCTTCTGAGACGGCTCATTTTACACCCAGCAGGGGGCTGCATTAGTCTGGGTACTTTGGAGAAACAAATCCACAGCAACTCATGTATGAGAGAGTTTTATGTAAAGAAAATGTGCATCACGAAAACATCCCAACCCAATGCTGCCCAAGCCCACAAGTCCAACATTAACCCATTAACCCAACACCAGTCCACAAAGTCCTCCACCTCACAAGACAGAGGCAACGATGCCTACTGCAGGAGGAAAGCTGAGTCAATGAACGAACAAGCATCTCAGCACTAGCAGGGGTCTCCACACGGCTGCTCCAGCACCCAGGGCTGCATCGGGATAGGTCCATGTAGCTTCTCCTTGGGGATGTCTTGTAGGAAGTCAATCTTGCAAGCTGAAGCAGGGAACTGCTAAGGCAGCTGCACCCGGTGCAAACATCACAAAACAAGAGACCCGAGAAGTAGAAAGGTGAGGCTCACCACCCATTTATCCCTCTGCCTTTCAATTAGCCCCACATGAGATTATCGGCCAGGCTGGCACCATTAACTAACTCAGGGCCATCACAGGAAGCCGGTTCGCAGGCACTTGCAGCTGAGTCCCATCAGGGTCTTCTCCCACCTTCTCTCACTCAGACTCATCAGGAACAGGTCATTTGGTGGGAGTGACAGACTACACTCAGGCACCAACTCATAGCGAGCCTATAGAACAGGGTAGAACTGCCCCCTGTGGGCTCCTCTTTATGGGACAAGAAAGCCTCATCTTTCTCCTGTGGAGCAGCTGGTGGTTTCAAACGCCTGACCTTGCAGGTAGCAGCCTAACATGGAACCACCACACCACCAGGCTCCTTAGTCTCTGCACTACTTGTTTGGTACTGGCTTGGTAAGGTTTGTTTGGTCCATGTATAGGGTGACTATGAACCGGCATCAAGTTGATGAGAGTGTGTTTAGTTTAGGCTTTTGATTTCTTCGGGACATTGCTTGGCATCAAGTCTCCTCTCCAGTAAAACTGAGCTCTCTGATGCATTGAGTACGGACAGCAATGGCCACAACTAGGGGGCATTTTGTCCGGAAGGCGTGTGACTTCTGTCTCAGGGAGCAAGATGATCTGTGGCCTGAAGCCCGATTGTGACTTTTAGGCTATTTGGTGATGTTTGTTTCCATAAATTAGGAACCGTAACTTAAAAAACAAAACAGAAGCTTTGCAAAAATCACTCTTCCTACTCAGGTAAAAAGGCAAAATTACAGAGACTCGTCGGTAGAACCGGCTGGCTTAATGACTTTCACAGTATGAGGATGTAAAGTCCGGGGTGGGGGCTGGATTTGTGTAAAAGAAAATGTTAAGGATGTTGGGGGCGGGATTTTAGATGACCAAGACTCCGGCTCGGGCTAGAAAGAACACACCTTTCTGGCTCATGGCCCAGGTCACATCACGCCAAGGGATGTTGGGAAAGTGGTTACACTTCTGGGCAGCCAGACACCAGCTGAGTGAGCGGCCCTGCCACTGTGGCAGTGAGGAGGGTGGGTACCGAGGCCAGCTGGCAGCCCTGGTTCAGACAGACATATGCCAAATGCTCTCACAACCACTACAGCCCAGGGAGATGAGTGTTTTCTGGTCTCTGATCACTGTGTAAGGCGATGAGAAGACGTGTCCTAACACCCCAGCTGTAGGGACTTCGCTCATTCAGACCCTGGAGGCATTTTAGCTTTATTGATTTTAAAAGTTTTCGTCCTCCCTCCTGTTCTTACCGAGAAGTGGCACGTAGGGTGCTTTTCTAAAGCGTAATTTGTTTTATTAATTTTTCTTAAAGTGCCCACAGTGGAGTAATGCCCACACAGACAACTCGGGTCTGCACACAGGCTGCCCTTCTCGCTGCCTGTTCTGAGCCATTCCTCCCCCGTCAGCCTAAACTGGCAGCTCTGGAAGTTTCTTATCTCATCCTTCAAGTGGCCCTCATGGGTGTGATCCCAGAAAGATCGTGAGAGAACCGGAGGCAGACGCTCTTCCCTGAGTAAGGGAAATGCTTTGTTTGCTTTACAGAAGACCGCGGGCCCATTGGGGTTAAAGTTTACACACACACATGGATTTCTTGGTGTCTTGGCTTTTAGGCCCCTTCCTAGGGTTTCTGGGGCACTGATTCAGGAAACAGCATTGGATGGTCGCATCAGCGCTAGTTTCTTAGCTACAGCGTGTAAAGGGCTCTAATGTCCACGGCAATGGCTACTCAGAACTCAGACAAAATTCATGATTAGCGAAGGGCTTATTAAGGAAGTCAAGTTTGGAGAAAGGCTGAGTTGGGCTGTTTACCTGTGACCCAGTGTCGGGTCTGTTAAACAGTGCCCCAAAGGGCACACCACTGGGTGGAAAACCTCAAC